CATCCAGTTGAGCAACATCCCAGTGGAACACTAAACTAAACTTTGCCTGCTTACGCGCATTTTGCTTTTAATGCGCTGCTGAGGACTCTTACAAAGGCTGTAACAATACCTAATTGTGTGCAGGGAAGGAGGGTGAGTTCCTGGTCTCTGGGAGTGGGAGGTGCCTGGCAGATAATTATGGAACAACTCTCCCTTCCCCCACCCCCCAGGAACGACAGTTTATCTTGCACTAATCAAACTAACTCTGTTAATAAACCAGTCTCTCTGCTGGAAAATAAAGTCTTAATTTTATTTATTTGCTACAGTAAGTAGCAAAGTGCTTTTTTTTTTTTTTTTTTTCATGGAGATGTACATTTATGTGTAGGACTAGTGCCTTTTCTGTGACATAAAATGAAGCTATGTGTTGTCTTTGTTTCAGGGAAAACTCAGATCTTGAGGGTGGGACCTTCTAATCAGTTGTTCTGAACTAACCCTTTGTGAAATCAGTGCTCAAACATATCGAGGCTTGTATTGTCAGAAATATTTGGGGAAATCGTTTGCTATTACGGCTGTTAGCTTGCCTAGGCATACTGAGGGGAAAACAGCAGCTTTCTGAATGGATAGTGCTTTGATTATTTAGTTAAGTCACATTATATTAGGAAAAAAAACTGAGCGGAAAAATCTACAAAAAAAAACCTGAGCTGAAATGAGCATATTCATGCTCACTTTCTACTTACAGCAGCGGGTAAATAGCGGTATACATAGCTCTTTCAGTCTGTCATGAATCACCAACATCGCAACAGGATGCTTTTACCAAGCCAAAAACTAAAGGAACCGAAATAGGTCAACTAATCAAAATGGTTTCTGTCTTTATTATTTATTTCTCATTATTGTACTTTGTTAATGTAACTGGATCAGAGAAGGGTCTAATCTGTCTCACGGCCCCAGCGTATCAGTGCCTGAGCATCTCCTAGAAAATGAGCGATGGCAATTTTTCCCTTGACTGGGTGGAGGGTGCTCAGCTCCCCGCAAGACTGGGCTTGTGCCGCTGTATCCTCACACGCAGCAGTGCTGTAAGCTTCTTAATTCAGTCAGAGGCATATTTTTCCCCACTTCTGTTCCAGAATTTATTGTTGGCTGGCATGAACTGGGCAGACTGACTAGACACGGGCTTCTACTGATCTATTCTAACTGAATTTAGCTCACTTTTGCCAATGGTCATGTTTCTGCCTGTCCAAGGACCTGATTCAATTTCTGCTGAAGTGAATGAATGAAATCACCACTCAGAAACTACCTGCTGAAGCTCATTTCCAAGATGGCTTTTAAAAGATTTAGTAAAATTATATTGTACTTTTAAGATAAATTACATAGGAAAATGGTTCACTCATAGAGCCTCTTAACTAAAATTCACTTGTAACGCAAATAATGTTTTTCTTTTAATGCAATACCAAAAAAGGAATAGCACTAACAGTAATGACAGAAATAAACTTGTAAGTCATTTTATATGCCATGTCCTCCACTTCATTACATTAATTTTATTGCAGTCTAGCACCATTCAGCAGTATTACCCTGGCATGAAATTAGATGCCCTATAGAACAATCTCACTAAATAATTCTGTATGCAGTTTTAATATTAATATTTTGAATGGCAATTAAATATATAGATATACTGATTTTACTATTTGAATCCTTAATTTTCATAATCAAAATGACATCTAGATTCTTCTATGGGCATTTCATGAGCTACATAACAGTTGTATTTTATACTTTGGTGCTGCCATTAGAAAATTGATGTTCATAAAGTACATTGAGCACAGAGATAAGAAATTTCTAGTGTAGGAAACCAATAGTTTCCAGTAAACTGAGAAATCATAGGAAATAATCAGAAAATCTCCAATTTCCACCAAAATATATGGCTTCCATGTATGAGTTATATTAGGTTTTCATAAATAATAAAAACATGTGTAGTACTGGTGGTATTCTTCATGATGAATTCCAGTTTAAAATAGCAATCTCTATTTTGCTTCTCAGTTTCCTAAGTTTGTCTCCACATGTTAACTGCTTCTTTTTTCTTCTTCTTCTCTACTTCAAGGAAATATTTTAAATATGGGAGAAACTAAAACCTTCCTGCTTGGAGCAGCCTGCGCTGTCACCTTTTTCTTTGTCCTAATCTGTTTGGTTGATGCAGCTTCCTTCCAGCAGCATCAGCTGCTTCAGAAAGATCCAGACTATGTAATGAAAAACTTACAAAGGTTCCCAAATCCTGATATGATCAAAGCTTTGGAATACATAGAAGATCTTCGCAAGCAAGCTAACAAGGGAGAAACCCCTGATTACAACTCTTATCAAAGTGTTCCGTATCTCCTGCAACAGAAAGAAAGCAAAGATCAGGTTCACTTACCAGATAACGTAAGGGATTCATTGACTGAAGATGAGTCCCAATGGGTTAAGGTAATGTTGGAAGCCTTGCGGCAAGCTGAGAAAGACTCAAAAGTTGGCCCAAAGGAGAATAAACCTTATGGTCTGAGTCCAGATAGCAACTTTCCAGCTGGAGTAACTGATGATTATGAGGCTTACAAGTGGCCTGAGAGGTGGCAAAAATATCTCAAAATGCCACTTGGGCACTATGAAGACAGTTCAAGAGACAGTCCTTTCAAGCGTACTAATGAAATAGTGGAAGAACAATACACACCCCAAAGCCTTGCCACATTGGAGTCTGTGTTTCAGGAGTTGGGAAAGATGGCAGGACCTAGTAACCACAAGAAAGAGAGGCTGGATGAGGACCAGAAATTGTATGCAGATGATGAAGATGATGTATATAAAGTGAACAACATTGCCTATGAAGATGTGGTTGGAGGAGAAGATTGGAATCCCATAGAGGAAAAAGTGGAAAGTCAAACCCAGGAAGAGATAAAAGATAGCAAAGAGGAAATCGATAAACATGAAGAGGAGATTGATGATGAAATGAAAAGATCTGGGAAACTCAGCTTCCTTGAGGATGAAATACGAAGAGACAATAAAGGGCAAATGTCAGAGGATGTTTCAAAGCTAATGAATTTTTACCTGAAGAGGCTGATGGGCAGTGCTGGGAATAGGAAATTAAGGACTGGAGGAGAAATTGAGGAAAAAAGAGCATCCACATTTTTTGATAAGCAACTTGATCCTCAGTCTATAGCTCAGCTGATAGAAATCTCAAGGAATTTGCAAATTCCTCCTGAGGATTTAATAGACATGTTGAAAGCTGGAGAAAAGAAGCAGCTTCAGAGTGAAAGGTTGGAAGCTGAGCAGGAAGCAGAATTCCCAGAAGACCTTGACGAGATCACTGAGCCCAATCTAGGACAGAGCGATATATTTAAAAATAATGTAAACTCTAAAAATGGGTACATGAAGCAGCCTCTTAATGTTATCCCAGAAAATCTACCTGAAGACCTCAATATTGAAGATATTGTCAGTCTTCTGGGAACTGAAAATTTAGCTAATCAGAATCCCTCCTACTTACTAAATCGTCTTAATCAAGAAAATGATTTGCCAAGATCATTGTCTTACATTCCCAGAAGATTGAAAGGACACCTATTTCCTAAAGCTGCCTGGATGAATGATTTGGAAAGGCGACAAATGGAGTATGAGAAACTGAATGAAAAGGATGAAGAGCTGGCCGATTACCTGGCAAAGGTGTTGGCCAAATATCCTGAAGTTATCAATATGAACCAGCTGAAACGAGTCCCAGTTCCAGCTTCTGAAAGCGACCTGCAGGAAGACGAGCGGCTGGAGCAGGCCATCAGAGAGCACCTAAGTCAGGTGGGACCACAGGAGGCTGCGAAGTTGGCTTCGCTCAGCAAAAGGTTTTCCATGGCCGGAGAAACCGATGACACGCAAAACAGGCAGTATCTGGACGAGGATATGCTAGCAAAGGTGCTAGAGTATCTAAAACAGGAGAAATCAGAGCTTGAAAGAGATCACATCACTAAACGGGCAATGGAAAATATGTAATTGTTCCCCAAATATTATTTCTCTTCAATGTGTTGACTTCAATCCCAATTCAGTTGTGATTTATTCCCACTCTCCCACTAAACAACCTGTGGTAGACTACTTACCATTGAACAGTCTGCATATCTTTCTCAGAGCTGTTATATTGGTTATTGATATACTTATATATGTTATAAATTATGGGGCAAAAAACGGAGTGTTTCAAGTGTTTTAAGAAACAATTTAATGGAATCAAGTAAAACTATAACATGTAAACAAACAACCTTTGCATTGTTAATAAAACATGATAAATGAAGAGTGACAATTATAATTTGGAATTTTTAAGATTAACTGGATTATTTTGTTACTGTCTGTAGTGGTTTTTGTGGAGTATCGAATAAAAAAATAAAGCATTATATATATATAGTTTTATTTACAAGGCTTTTTCTATTCAGTGTTTTATTGTTGATGAATAAATTATTTCTGAACAACAGACTGTGTTTCTTTGTGGCAGTTGATAAAATCATACTAATTTGAAAAGGAAACATATAATTTTACTTCTATAGACAACTCTTCTGGAGTCTATTATTTTACCGTAGAATAAGTTGGCAGCATATACTTCTGGTTTTCTGGGCTATAGGAACACTGGCGTGTTATCTTTAGGAGCAGTCTGTACCTGAAGAGCTTGCTGAAGCCAACTAGGGCAGTTACTTCATTACCTTTTCTGAAAACTGGGCCCCACATAATTAATGATTGTGTATCTCTTGTCATGGGAGGAAGATAAACGATCTGGCCATCTAAGCCAGACTCAATGATGAAGCTCTAAAAAAAAATACAAAATTGAACCTTTGCAGGTGAGTAGCAGCAGGTCTGGGAAGCTCCGATGAAGCAGCTGGGAGGCTCTGCAGAAGGTTTCCTCGCCATCTCTCATGATGGCTACCACAAAGAAAGAGAAGCTTCAAGGCAAGGCAAGCAGAGAACTCACCCCGTCCATAACATCATGTTTTTGTCTAATAAAAATATTATTTCCTATTTCATGAAATGACCATTACATGTATACATAACTATACACAGAACCTTTATTATTCACTACATTACCTGGACACTTGAGATTTCTCTTGAGCTTCTGTTAAGACCTGCAGTGGATGTTCTGGAAAAGCTCTGGCTCTTTTACAGACGGAAATGTGCTTGTGTAACTCTGTGAGTCAGACATAGGCTTCACTAGGACAGCTCAGGCATAAGCATTTCCAGGATTATACTTTAAAAGTGGTTTTCCCTGTGGTATTCTTCAGCAACTCACCTCTGCTAAGTGAGGTGGGGATGATTTTTGGCGAGGCAATGTCTAACGAAGCAAAGTACCTAGGCTGCAGAAAGAAGAATTCATATTCTGTGTCACCATTACCCTGGGCAAACACAGACGATAGGAGTTCAGTCAGAGCTCTTGCTTTGGGCCACAGCAAAATCTTTCAGTTTCCTTTTACTTGGATGAGTCAAAACGTTAAACACAAACCTGAAAAAAAACGAGTTAAATTCACTTCTGTTCTCTAAAGAAGGACAGACCTGTTGCCATTAGAGATGCACTTGCTTGGGAACTTGGAATCACTGCATTTTATTCAAAACAAAATTGTGCTTTAAACAAATAACATTTTCTATCACCTTGGTTCCTAATACTGTTATTCTCCTTAATCCTAATACTGCTCCTGCAACCCTCATAGTACAGAAAATTTTATTTTGGTCAAATCAGTAGCATTTAATACTTAAATACATAAAATCAGGGAAGAGACTTAACTGAATGTTTGCTGGGTTTAGAGAACCAGTTTCACAATTTTATATTTGCCTTCCAAGGTCATATTTTTAACAGGAGACTTTATTTACTGCCCTTATTCACACGCAGAGTACCAAAGCCTACCTCCATAGCCAACTCGCTAGACACTTTGTATTTTTCCAGCGCTGTAGTTAAATGCTGGGGTTTTTTTGTTTTTTTTTTTTTTTCCTTATGGGAGGAAAGAATTAACTCGCATCAATATTTTCATAAAAGGAACTAATGGTGAGCCGAAGGAGCACGGGGCCCGTGAAGGCCCGAGGGGCCCGGCTGGCACAGGCACTGGCTCTCCCGGGCGGGACGAGGGCCTCTTCCCGCCACGCCCTGCGATGCACCAGCTGAGGAAGGGGTTGTCAATCTCTGCAGAATATCTCTCCCAGAAGAGGGATTTGTTTTTGAGAAGGCTGGCTGCGCAGGCCCCGCTGCCGCCCAGGGCCAGCGGCCCCTCGGGAGCAGCCTGCGGGCCCACGGCCGAGGCGGGCGCGGGGCCGTGGTGCTGGCCCAGGAGGACTCGTGCTCCTGCAGCCTCCCGCCCAGGCACGGGGGGATCGCGCACCCCGGGCACGGCTGCGACCCGCGTGGGGCCGTGCTGGGCCTCGGGCACTCACAGATTCGATGGGGGCGTACGGTGGTTGCAAACGTGCAGTTCAACACACTTCATGAACACCATCATGATACCAGGCTAAATAATCAAAATATATCTTTAGCAGGGCTTGGCAAAGCTCACCAAAGACAACGGTCTTCCCGACTTCTGCACAGACCCTGAAACAGCACATTTCTCCTGCCTCAGACAGCTGAAAGCACGAGCAGGATAGCGAGGCAGCTCTGAGTGTGTTTTCTTGCGTTTCATTTTTGTAGCAGCAGCCTTAAAGCACGTGTGTGTGTGTGTGTGCCCTCTGCCCGCAGCTCTGGGCAGAGAGTGAAGTCACACCAAAGCTAACACCTTGCACCACTTGTGCTAACCACACAGCCACGGTACAGTGCATGTTGCTGGTTTTGTCCTCATGGCTAAAACAGGTACAAGTTTATCTATTTTTTTCACAGTGAAAATTAAAACTGCTTTTTTTTTTTTTTTTTTCCCTTTTGCTGCCCCCTTTTCTTTCAGTGGTGACTTAAAAAGGAGTTTTTCCATGTCCCCCCTCCAGCAGCTGCCAAGCCACAGGCTGGGAGGAGCATCACCCTTGTCCCTGCGATGCAGGGCTGAGCAACATGTTGCTATGGCAGCCGGGAGGCAGCTGTACCACCTCCCAGCATCACATCGCAGCACCGAGGAAACAAAGATGAAAATGCTTTGAAGTTCCAAACTTTGCTTCTGCTTTGTCCTAAGATTGTGCTCAGATGGCCTCTGCCACAGCCCAGACAGCCCTGCCGTGGGTCCTTGCACGGCGCTGTGATGTTCCTCTTTCCCTTGAGCTGGTATTTGTGGCACGCAGTTCCCCTAACGCCACCAAAGGTCCCCAGAGCTGAGGGCCTTCCTAAAGGACTTTGCTCAGAGTGTATTCCATAGTCTCATTAAGTGGAAAACAAAGCCACCAGGCAGTGGGATTTATGGTTTAAAGGGTTTGGGGCTTTTTAAAGTTAATGTATAATGTTGACTGCGTCAAAACAATGATGTTTTAAAGCAGGTATATTAACGTAGCGTGCTATCATTATTCCTACCTCTTTATCTGATCTCATTCTTTCCAAAAGAATGGTTCCAGAAAATGGACAGAAATTCACAGGTCCCTGTTTCAGCCATTATTATTCAGCCTTGAACATATACCAGGCAGTAATATATCTCATTTACAAGGTGTTTGGAGGACCTTGAAGAGATGCTGCACAAAATAGACATGGCCAAGCATGACTGGTGATAGTTTTAAGTTCCTTAGTTTCACTCCCCTCATACCACAGCCTGTAGCGCTCCCTTCCCCTGGGCTACCCAGGCTCCAGAGCTGACCAAAGCCCCGGGGAGCTGTTTGGCATAAATGCTGCCTCTGAGCTCTTATTCAAGGAGAGCTCAATGAAAATTTTGGATCTAAGGAACCAGAGGTACAAACATATGCGTGAAAGGACAGATTCTTTCAGAGACTGTGTAGAAGAGGAAATAAGCTTTGGAAAATACAAACCTTGGCATGAGTAACTGCAGCATTTTTGAGAAGACCATCTCACTTGCAGGGTGTGCAAGCCATTAGGGACTTTGTGCAGTTCTGTTATTTCAAGCTCAGCATCCCTTTTCCTGTTTATGAAGATGAACCACAAACAACATTATATAACAGAACTACGTGGAAGTTTCAAGCTGATTTCAAGCTAAAAGTGACATCAGTACCCTTTCCTCTTCTAGCCACAGAAAGTAGCCAGCTAATCTCCCTGTGAAGTACTTTATTTCTAACAAACAAATCTCCAACTCCATTTTGAAAATAAATGAGCAAATACTAAATAAGAAGCACCCTCTTGTTAGCTTCATCTGCCCCTTACTATGTAACCAAAGCTCCTGCAGAAGAGCAGATCGTTATACCTGAATATGCAAGACAGTATTATCAAAATGTACATCATAACGAGATCTGCTCCATTAAACCACTCCAGAGTGGCCCCCTGCAGAAAGGCTGTGTAATGCTTAATTGTTCTTAATAGCCACTACCACTTCTGCTTTCATTTGTCTGCATTTTATGCTTTCCTTATGAGTGTGATGGGACAAACAGTCATGTCATTAATAATGCACACAGAATACATAATCTATAATAGATACACTATCAAGCTTATTATTTTAATTATATACAAAATAAAGTGACCACCCTGCAATTTTTACTCAGGTAAAGTAAGGAGTAGATTTTTAATTCTTCTTTTGTGCTACAATTTGACAGCCTCCCAGATGCAGCTGGTTTGTACTCTGTTTATTAGTGGCTTTTTGTCCAGCAAAGAAAAATGTTTCTGCTCACACGTTCCTCTTAAAACCTGCAGTAAGCTTCCTTGTGTCCTCATACTTAAGGTCCTCCCCAACAAGCAGATTGAACAGAAATTTTGCATTTGGTCTGAATATAGCAAGCAGCTGAGCACCTTCTTCAAGACCCAAGGGAGTTCTTCTTTGTACATATACCAGAATTCATTGTATGGGTATCCATAAAAGTTAATATCTTTTTTGTTTTTTCGTTAATTCACATGCTACTGCAAGTGTTTTGTTTACATCTGCATCTTGATGTCTCCATTATTTTGTCAGCTGGGGCTCTTAAATGAGAACATTTGTTGATTCAAAAATTAATGTAACCACATTACCTCATCTAGAGAAATTAGATTGTTGCAGTTATTTGTTTCTAAAAGGGTATTTCCACATTGCAGTTGAAGGGGTTTGAGTTGCATACAATGAGACAGTCATTAGTGTTTCTCAAAGCACTTTACCAGATACCTTGTTTTGCAGGTGAAGCGACATAAGCCATCTGTGATTTTCTTACCACAGAAAAGGACAAGCCAAGGCTGGAACCTGGGTGTCCTGAGCCGTGCTTTGCTTCACAGCTTTATTCTTCCATTCTTGCTGTTGCTAGCTAACGAGAAGACTTATGACTCAAACCTGCTTCTCCAGGCAATCCTTACCAAGACCAACCTTCCATTACTTCAGGTCAAACACAGCATGTGGGAGTGGAGGACTTCCGTGGGCAACAGCCATGTGGGAGCTGCAGTCCCTGGAGCATCCCTTACCTCCCCCCAGGAAGCACAACACCGATCAGTGGCTATTTACTACATGATGCATAAATCTTCACAGACACAGCTGGATGCCAGCTGCACTTTGCATTTGTTCAGCTACCCAAGTGCCTCCAGAGAGGTTTATCTGAGCTGCAAGGAACTCCAGTTAGCAGCAGCAGGCGGGTGCAGAGCCTCTAGTGCACAAAGTGGAAAGGAGAAGCCCTGAATCAGAGCTGATTATCTGAAGAGCCACGTTATTCCTGACTTTTGGATCATTTAAAAACATCTGAGATTGTTAATAATTCATTTGCAGATGTTGCAGAGCTCTAAATGTGGCTGATTAAATGCATTTGACGTTTCTCTTGAGAGAGGCTGTTATTCCAGGAAACCACTCAGTATCTGCAAATGTCTTGGAATTACCGTATTCAAAATTACGGGTTCACTTACAATGTTTTCCCCTTGTAAAGAAAGAAAACCAACCTCTGATTCCAAATGTAATGTACGCTGGTGAATAACTACAGTACAATTATTTTAAATTCACCACAGCCATTCAGCAGATCTGCTATGGAATGACTAGCAGTCCAATGCAGAGAGCTCTGCCTTCCTCTGCTGAGAAAAAAACCCTGCAGACAATGAGACATGCAGGTCCTACACGCTTGGGGGAGGAGAGCTAGAAAGTGGTTGTTTGGCAACTCCCCAGCTCCTACAATTGCTGCTCCGTGATATGTTTCCTAAAAACCTTCCTGGTGTCTGCCTGAAAATAGAGGCCCTGACTTTATCCTGGCAGAAAAGCCAGCCTCTTGTGGGATGTCTCAGGAGTGCAACAAAGCTGCTAAGCCCTCTGGGTCAGATGCGCAGGATCCAGGACAGACTCTAAAAGAAATAATAAGCTTTATACAGCCTTTGTGGCTCCCTCATTATGTCACCAAATCTGAGTCTACCAGATTTGTTTGGCTTCATACTTAAATTAGAGTAAATCTCTTCTGGTGTAGCTGTGCAGTGCGCTTTGTACCGCTTCATTTAAATGCTTATAT